GGGTTCTTTTTTCTTTTTCTTTTTTTTCTTCTTGCCTTTTTTGTGTTTGTCAAAAAGCCTAAGGCCATGCATGAACCTTTTCCAGATTTTCTTGATCACTGTCTTTTAATGAGAGTGTTGTTGTTCTACTTTTTTACTTTTTGTGTGGAAGCTCACTTTATTCCTACTTCAATTTATGCCTTGCCACTTCCATTTTTTCATGAACTTCATAACTTCAGTGTATTAAAGTGGTGGCTGATGGTTCTCATTTGTAGTTTACCTCTAGAAAGTAAAATATCCTTTATGCCACTTACATGGCCAAGAGGAGAGAAAGAAAACATATATGAAATTATATTCTAAAATCTAAATGAGGATACTAGCATAAAACATACATTTAAATATCGTTTTTTACACCTAATGTAAAGGACTTAGATGTAGAAAGTAGTGTGAAGATGCTTTTACAACAGGGTTAATTGCCACAAAAACATTGACCTTTTTATTTTTAACAGTTTAATTCAAACATTTGGATAATTGCAATAATTTATACCTTGTCTTATTTTTGCAAAAAAAAAAAAAAAAAAAAAAACTTAAAACCCATCGGACGGTCAAAAGATGTCGGCATGTTTGGCTGGTTATATCTACGTGGAACTTTCAGTTTACTGAGTAAGACTAATTAAAATATGTGGAAATTCACAAAAATCATTATAAAACCCCATCCACTTCCAATTTCAGAAATTTCCCAAACTAAATTAACTCTAACTTAGTTCGAAGAAAAAATCGAGGTCGACAACAAAAACCAAACCCTATAGCTTAAATCTTCTCCCTATATCAAGAATCCGCAACGAAGGGGTCCCAATTGCATGAGAGCTTGTGTTTCTGCGCTCGAGATTCCTTTTATCGTCCTGCGTTCGAGATTTTTATATGGCGGGAAAACGAAAGGCAGGTGCTCTGAATTTCTTTCTATTCTTTATTTCTTATTGTCTGTGTTTTGTACCCGAGGTAGTAAGACAAATTTAGAATGTTGTGTGTTTTTTAATTTCTTCTCTACTCTTTGCCATATGGTTTCTGCAATTTTTATTTCGAGAATGTGGTCCTTGTACTGATTTCGAGAGTGTGGTCTTATATTTAGGGTTCTTTTAAAAATTAGATTTATTCTTGGTGTATAGTTTTTTTTTTTTTTTTTTTTTTTT